GGGCACACGGGGCGTCGCTCACAGACACGACTGGGCACACGGGGCGTCGCTCACAGACACAACACCTTTTTCCTTTTTGTATTGTGTTGCTATATTGTCTTTGCAATGTTTTTATTAGTTTTTTTTTAAATAATCCCCTTAAAGCAGCTACAGCCCCGAAGGGGGGGTCAGGGACTGTTTATGGGCAGGACAGTGCTGTTGGTCATGCCAGTTTCTGCACAGGGAATCGCACACGGATTTCATCCATCATCTTGTACTGCATTTGTATTTTGTAACACCGAACATTACTTAGGCTACGTTCACACTGCAGGACAAATGTAGCCCAAATCTGATTTTTTTGCTCATATGTGACTCAGATCGCATTTTTTCATGACAATGTCAACAGCACAAGTTTCATGGAATCCGATTTTTTCAATTCCGATTTCGGCCACTTCAGTATGTGGTCAAAAATCGGACACAAGTCTGATTTTTTGCAAAGCGACCTCAGTCTGAACAGCAAAACTGGAATTCATGCGACTTTTACGTCACTCTCGATCGACGTTCATCACAATTCTGCGCAGGCGGAAGTCACCATATTGGGAGCGTTGTTCCTTCCGTCAGTGCCAAACATGGAGGAGAGCACAGAAGCTGGCCGGTGGAGGGACAGTGAGGTGCTGAATTTAATTGTGAGCAGTTCTGAGCAATGCTGGAGATGGACTTCCTGCATCAATAAAGTGACGTCTTTGTTTCTGCGCATGCGTGTCATTGCGTCTTTGTTGTTTTGTGTGCACGCGGGCCAGTTCAGTATAGTGAACCGTTCACATTGAAATCTGATATTGCCCACATTAAAAAGAGTGATGTGAACAGGCAAACAAAAAATCCGATCTGAGCAGAAAATCAGAATTGAGCATTAAGGCCTGCAGCGTGAATGTAGCCTTAATGACACACGGAAAATTAGCATTTTATTTATTTAAGTTTTTGTTCATTCTTCACACAGTTTAATTAATCCACCACTACCAGCCATGTCCAAATGCATGGAGAAAATGAATGATTAAACTGTATGGAAAAATCATGTGCAATTTATTTGGAATTTAATTTTTAATACTTTTCGTCTGCTCCTTCTGCACCTGTTTAGCTTCTGCAGGTTATCATTCCAGCCCTTTTCTTTCAGCTTAACTTATCTAGGATGTAGGGGGGGGGCATAAACTTTTTAAACCATTTTAAAGCACATAACTCAACATCGAAGGATGATTTCCTTAATGCACGACAAAATATCAACATATTTCAGTGTTTTGAAATATACTTGATATTTTTAAATATCAATTTTGAAAATGATTAAAAAAATATTTTTGGAAAAAACAAATACCTGTATGGACGTGAAAAGCCGGCGTTGAATGGGAGAAATTCAGTGACACGTCATTCCTTCCCTTTTGACGGTCAGACTAAGCGGCCGCAGCGACGGCCTCTCTCTGCCATCGCTGCCCCTTCCATCTTCCATAAACACATCCTGACGCCATTTGCTTTGCAGGACACTCCTCTGCAGGGATGGTTATCACTGTGCCACAATCCACAAATGTTCATTTTATTGGGCAACATCGGGTTAAATCCTGGTATAAATGTGGTTTTCTAAGCATGGCTCTGTAACTAGGACTTTTATTAATTGTGGAACCATTGCTGTGGTCACCGTTTTAAAGGGCCTAGTGAGTCACAAGTCACTGATTTTTCAAGTTTAATTGTGTGGGGAAAAGTCACCTTGATTTGAGTTCTGGAAGAGTTGTGACGTTCTTTAAATTTGAATAAAATGAAAACTAAAAGACTTTCAAATCTCATGAGCCAATATTTTATTCACAACAGAACATAGAAATTTTTACAATTTTATGCACAGAATGAGCTCATTTCAAATTTGATGCTTGCTTCAGATCTCAAAATAGTTGGGACAGGGACATGTTTAGAATTAAGTGGTTAATTGTCATTGTTGACACAGCACACAACAACAAAATGTGTTCTCTGCATTTAATCCATATGTGACATCATGACATAGCAGGGGGCAGCTAATTCAGCACCTAGGGAGCAGTGCTTAGGGGTGGTACCTTGCTGGTCGGGGTTTCGAACCTGCAATCTTTCAATTATAAGTGCATGTGCCTGACCATTAAGCCACCACTGCCCACAGTGTAGCATCTCCTCTTTTCAAAACCATTTGAAGACATCTGGGCATCGAGGTTATGAGTTTCTGGAGTTTTGGTGTTGGATTTTGGTCCCATTCTTGCCTGATACTACAGCTGCTGAAGAGTTTGTGGTCGTCTTTGACGTATTTTCCATTTAATGATGCGCCAAATGTTCTCTATAGGTGAAAGATCTGGACTGCAGGCAGACCAATTCAGCACCCGGACTCTTCTCCGACGAAGCCATGCTGTTGTAATAGCTGCAGACATGTTTTGCATTGTCCTGCTGAAATACACAAGGCCTTCCCTGAAATAGATGTCGTCTGGAGGGGAGCATATGTTGCTCTAAAGCCATTATATACCTTTAAACATTCATAGTTCCTTCCAAAACATGCAAGTTGCCCATACCGTATGCACTTATGCACCCCCATACCATCAGAGATGCTGGCTTTTGAACTGAACGCTGATACCACGCTGGAAGGTCTCCCTCCTCTTTAGCCCGGAGGATACGGCGTCCGTGATTACCAACAAGAATGTCAAATTTGGACTTGTCTGACCATAGAACACTTTCCCACTTTGAAACAGTCCGTTACAAATGAGTCTTGGCCCACAGGACACGACGGCGCTTCTAGACCATGTTCAGATATGGCTTCCTTTTTGCATGATAGAGCTTTAGCTGGCATCTGCAGATGACACGGCGGATTGTTTACCGACAGTGGAAGTATTCCTGGGCCCATTTAGTAATGTCATTGATACAATCATGCCGATGAGTGACGCAGAGTCGTCTGAGGGTCTGAAGACCATGGGCACTGTTGGAGTCGAACTCCGCCGGGTCCGTTGATGAGAAGAGATTCACAGCACAGTCGAGGAGTAGTTGCAAGTCACAGTTTATTCTCTAACAGATTGCAATCTGGGAGTAACTATCCGACATACAATCAGCATGTACAAGAAGATGCTCAAACCCTCGGTGTCGGTTCTGTCCCTTTTATTGACCTTCTAGGGTGCTGCCCCCCATCTCGGCACTTTCCACCTACATGACCACAACATATTTTGACTTTTGTTCCAATTAGTCAGTGTGTGCATGTTTCCCCCCTTTTTCTTAAGCATAAGCGAAAATAAGTGTCCGTTGTATGATGGTTTCCTGTTTTTCCTGCTATCTCGCGCGAGGTCGTCCTGACCTGCTGGCGTGCTGTCAGTTCCTGATTTTTCCAAACTGCATGGGGTGAGATCATCCCATCCTGCCGGCCTAACATTGGTTCCCATGTCTACTGTCTACATTATGTTAGATACTACTCTATTAGCTACGTTCTTAGTAGATATTATATGATTAACCCCTATTAGCTACATTGTTATAAAATTAGTAAGTGATTATATGCTTAACCCCTCAGCACCCAATAAAGGTCTTCGGCCATGTCCCTTGCGCACAGAGATATCTCCAGTTTCTCTGAATCTTTGCAATTTGACGTTGAGGAACACTTTTTAAAGTATTCCACAATCTTTTTATGCGCCACCAGTAGCCTATGTTAAAAAGAGGCTGGACAATAGCTAAAAAAATTGCCGTTTTAGATTGGAAGGGGGAGGGGAACCTGCGAAGGAGCCAGACTTCCCGGGGGGGAGGGCTCTGAGCTGAAGGGGAAAGGAGCCACGTGGAGACCGCCCCATGACCAGCCTGAAAGCGATAAGTGACTGTAGCCGAGTGTTGGGGGCTGATGTGCAGGGAGCCTGGCTACTTTGCGGGTACAATAAACCTGACAGCTGGGTTGTTTACCAGACTGCGTGACTCCGAAGGGGAAACCTCCCAGGCTTAGAAAATAAACCTGTTAAAGTAGGAGGGGATTCTCAAACTGTAACAGTAAAACCGAATTAAGTAATATTTCTGTATCAGTGCGCACATCCTTAGTTTGTGGAAAGCGCTTCCTGTCGCCGAGCGCTGATAGGGGCGGTTTGCTGCCGCACCGAGCTGTAGCCTGGGGCTGCGGGGCCGTGCGTGGCGTTTCCGAACGCGGCATTTCAGGACAAGTGGTGAGTGAGGAGCCCTGCATGCCGACCCGCTGGCCGAGCTTCCCTCCTGCGTGTTTGGCGGCTCCGCGAATCGGCAAGACTCCCGCACCGTCCCGGGGCGCCGCTGCCAAGCCGCATGCTACCGTGCCTGGTGACGAGTATTTCTCCGCTTATAATGCGCCATAAGTGAAACGTTAGGTGAGCTTTACCTGGGGGTTTGGCCATGCAGATAGCCGGTCCAGTGTAGCTGTATATTTAAAATGTCGGAATTACTCAGAAGTAGCTTTATAAAGTGCAGCTCGGCGGAGGCTGGGCGCCGCGAAAAGGGCGGAGGGTCCGGTTACTTCAGACGCGTCAGGCGGCAGAAACTTTGCTCGCAGCTCACTGCCATCTGGGAGGCTGCTGCCAGCGTGAGTTTGGTGCAAATACAACGCCTTTGCTAAACTTGTTTTTGATACAGAAAAGGGGCTTCCTGCCAGCACGCATTCCTGGAGAATACATGTCTTAGAAACTCTTTGTAAAATGGAAGTGTGGTGATAGAGGGTTGCAGATCGCAGGCCAGGTGGCCGTCCTGGGAGCGTTGTTGATAAATCTTGCATCGTCGGGGTTATTTTGAAGGTGGAGGCAGAGATCTGACGAAGGGTTTTGCAGCGAGGAGCCGCGCTGGGAGCTGAGGTGTCCCGCGGTGCATTTCTCAGCTTATCGCGGGCGAAGCGGCGCTGCACATTCGTACCTTTATCTGCAAGCGCCCGCAGAGCTCGGCAACATTAATGCGAAACGGGAGATAGGATCACTCACTTCTACCAAGGGCTAGATATTTTAGACGCAGCGTCTTTAATCATTTTTCCCGGCTTCCCGACTTTTATTTCTTTAGTAAAAGGTAGTCGGAATAACAGTTCAAATAACTGTCAGATAAATCATAATGCTGGCATTTCCTGTTGTATTCCCGCTTTATTTGGTAGGTAGAAGCAGAAGAGACGCCGCTTGAAATGAAGACGACGCTGAAACGTCTTTATTGTCAGGTTTGTTTGCGGACGGGCTTCCGAGCAAATGCGACATTTGACTAATTGCGACATTTGTCACGGGGACCCATTTGGTGTCCCATAATGGTCTGGGCAACCTTAAGAAAAACAACAGAAACTCACACATTTAATTTGATGTAAGAATATTATCAGGATTGCAAATTTAGGTCAGCTGGCCAGAGTGACATTTTCAGCTCGAGACAAGTCTGCACGCACATTTAAGTGTATATTACGTATATTAAGTTTTACTACTATGTAAATCTGTAGAGTTTGCAAACTACGCTAATGCTTTTGATGCAGCTAATTTTAGGTTTGTAATGAAATTTATATAGATTTTCCGTATGATTTCTTATGTAAGAGTGAAACAGTGAGTGTCACGCCAGATGCGTGAGAGTTGGCAGCCCTGATACGTCATGAGCAGTAGATGCCGGGCTTGGTTATAACCCTTGGCATTAAAGGCAGAAAAGCTGGTGCCGCCACGCCGGTGAGCCCTACCCAGACACTGCCATCCTGTTCATTAGCTGAATCAGCCAGGACGGGTTCTTTTGCTTAAATACAAACGTGTGGATGTTGGCGATGCAGTGTCGCTGTGCCCCGATTGTACCTGATTCTCACCTTTGTCCCACAGGCCTGTGGCATCCAGTTTAACTTCTTTTCGGCCTGCAAAAAGCACATGTATGGGGCAGAGCACAAGCAGGTATTCCTTCATTTAATCCTAAAGGCTGTTCTTTATTTTCTATGATAATAATTAATAATAAGTATGACACTGCCATTCCCTCTCTATAAATGCTGGTTTGTGGGTTAGTCCACACTGGATGTATTCAGAGAGTTAGATTTTATAGTGAATATTATCCAAATGACAAGAGGAGGAAAAACATTCAGTCACAGAATCACTATAAAATCTAACTCTGAATACATCCAGTGTGGACTAACCCTTCGCGAAATAGATCGGCCTGTTTCGTTTCTAATGTTCTTAGCAGACATGCGATGGTGACTTATCTGTGTCGGATCTTTCTGGAAATGGCTGAATGACTGAAGACAGATGAGTTCCATAGTCATTAAGTTTAATATATAGAATATAAAGAAGTGTTCATTTCAGTATCT